ATTACTTTGACATAATTTATATTGAAATCTTTTTTTTACTATTTAAAGGTTAAATGCCACTCTAATTTCTACTTCTAAGCTACTTTTTGAAATATGTTGTAATTCTTATAATTATAATTATTATAATTAATTAATTAGTTATTATTAATCTCTTATACAATTAAAATGTATTTATATACATATTACCAAATAACCTTATAATGATCAATAAACTTCACTGAATAGGTTGTATCTAATTTACAAAATGAATTACACCCGAACTGGCTATAGCCAAGCTTTCATCAGATAATCTATATTTAAGATTAAAAATAACACTGTCCATAATAACAAAATATATAGAAGTTTTCCAATAATTTTCTACATTCATTTGCTAATGACGAATATGAATCATTTTCTGCCGCCGTGGTAGCTATTAATACATAGTCATGAAAGCTAGTTGACTCTCTTCTGCCATGATTTGATCCTATATTTTTTATGTATTATTTAGGTTAAAAAACATAAAATAAATTATCAAAATCACAAAATATATACACCAGTTAATGGAGTTTGTAACCATATCTCATTTTCTTCAGCAAATATTTTTATTTGTTCCTATATTTTCTTACATTCATCTTCAGATCTTCTAGTTTCAAATGTTTTGATTACACCAAAAATTACATTTTTAGAAAAACCAAGAGTTGATGTTTTATTCTGTAATGAAACTGAATGGGCTACGGAAAAAAACTGGCTGGAATAAGCCCACTCAAGCCTCCCCCCCTAATTGCGTCTATGCACTCGTGTTTAATCCACACGAATATTGCCTAAAAGCTATATCTCAATCGACTAATGTTTTCAAATAAGATAGCTGGATAAGTTGTATAATGATTAATGAGTATAATGACTAGAGTTCGGGACTTATTGCATATGCATATTGTTCAATAATGATTGTAGAATCATGTCTAAATAAAATATACATTCGTTTTAAGTTATAACGGATTGAAATATAAAAATTTTAATGTTTTCGCATATTTCGCCGTTTTCTGAGCGAAAAGCATATCTGACCAATTTTGACAATTTAATTGTTCTTTATAGCATATTTACGCAGTTTTCGTTTGATGTTAAGCAGATATATTTTAAAGGTTAACATTATTTCTTTTTACTTTCGTGCATTGGTCAATATACCTAATGATGATCAAAATTGGTCTAGGTTTTGCGGTCTCCCAAGACTTTTGCTGCAAGACCAAGACTAAGACCAAAACGGTACTGGTCTAACGAGACTAAGACCAAGATTAGGCTTGCAAGAACAAGACCAAACTAAGATTCAACGTGCAGTCTTGCAAATTTTTTTTTCCCCGAAAATACATTAGTTATCTAGATTTCATTAACTAATAATTTATAACGAAATTAATAAGAAATTATTTTTATTGTTATTAAATTTTTGTTCAGAATTCGAGGAAATGACGAATTATTGAAAAAATTATTAGAAATAATTGGAACTCATATTACATAATAACATAATATAATTGTTTCATACTTAGCAATCATTGAAAAATTATTTTTTTTTTCCACAAAATCGATGAAAAAGTCGAAAGTAGTCTTGCTCATAGAATAATTTATGACTTATGTCCATAATACACCTCTACTTTGAATCGAATATACTAATAATTGCTGGAAGTCATTACGGATTACGGTAGATATCATTTTGATTGAAAGTACGTTTTAATTTTTTTTCGTAGCTTGTGTGATTTTTTCATACTAGACATTGTGTATTTAAACTAGCGTCTTATTCACAGGCGCGTACACAAAAAAATATTTTTTGGGGGGGGGTTTAAGGTTGTACATTTTCATAATAATATAATCTATATATCAATTTTACTATATAAAAACATATTAAATATCATTTTCCTGAATTTCGAGAGGGATTTGAACCCCTAAAACATCACTTGTGTACGCACCTGCTTATGCAGCATATCATTTCATTACTGTCGTAAACTTGTAGTCTATAATATTTATATTTATTATAAACGTAATAGGAACTTACAAAGTAAATTATGCTGGTAAATTGATTCATAAAATATAAATACAAGTAAAATAATATAAATATAATATTTTAAAATGCAAAGTATTAAACGAGTACCTATAATAAAAATTAAATTGTTTGATTGTTTTATATTATTAATACACTATATAATATATTGGACTTAATTTTCATCTTAGAAGTCATAGCAAAAAACCTAAACATCTATAACGGATAGATATTTAGATTTTTTTTTTTTATATTTTGTGAAAATAAGAAGTGTTTTGCAAGAGTCTTGCGCAAGACTAAGACCAAGATTAAGACGTATACCCAAGACCAAAATTTTGAAAGTTTTGTTTTGATCATCACTAAATATACCTAATTATAGAATGAATCAGGATAGGGTAACAAGGAAAATACATAATTGTTCCTGCGTATTCTATCGGTTACCGTATATCGTTTACCTACATAATCTAAAAGGAAAATTAGTATTCAGTTTGTACTTTTCATTGTAGGAGAAGATGAAGAAAATTAAATTGAACATACACAATAATATGTTTATAACACTATTGTTATTGTAGTAAAAACTACTAATTAAAATTTTTTTTCTAAATTTAAATGAATAAATCAAATATTTTAATTGTCATTAAAAGAATATTCATTTGCATGTTTTTGCGTATATTTTGATTATTTTTAGTGCATATTTTCATGCATATTTCCTACAATTTGTGTGCGAACCCAAATAATGATCCTCACCTGTTAATAGTTTAGTCAATTTTAAACTGACAAAATTATAAAAGTTTATGAAATTGTAGGTACCAATATCTTGGAACTACGCTCATGTCCAGTAATAATTTAATTCGATAAATTGAAAATCACTTTTTTTTAAACTACTGTTTTATAATAAATTGTAGTATACGCGATGTGTATTACGCAATATACTAATATTGAGTCATTTTAACTATTGTTATAAGTAATTAATGTTTTGAATATAATTTATAATTAAATCAAACACTAAAAATTGCAGTAACGATGATATAAAGTATAGCAATCATTATTATTACAAACAACCATATTTTTTCGTCGTAATAATTATATAACTTTAGTTACATTACCTATTAAATAATTATAATTGTTATATTATTTATTGTTATAATATTTATATTATATTTATTTTAATTATGAGATACCATAGTCTGCATTTAGACTGCATTAAAAGCCAATTTAATAATATAATAAAAAATTAAATAAAAATAAAAATAAAAATTTAGTTAATAATCATAAATTACTATATAAATTAATAAACAGTCTATTATATATATAAAATAAATAAATTCTTAGCCTGGAGTATTATTATATTTGTAAAGTATGATCGATTTCGAGTTTATATAACTATTACATATTGAAAAAATGTTATGTAAAAATCGCTTTTAAAACAAATAATAATTTAATTAAATATATAAATAATATAACTAAGAAATTTACAAAAAAAATCATTCTTCTTTTGAAAATTTTGATATAACCTATAGGTCTGATCAAAAAGTTACGGGACTTTTTGAATAACGTGCCAACATGGCGTCATAGAAAAATGCGGTTGGTAGCACTGTGTAAAGGAAGTTCTCCCGAGCACAGCTGTTTTTTCAGATAGTTGATAAGACGTTTTAAAGTGGAATGACAGTTGTTTTCGTAAATCGACTTTCTCGTGTTTATTTCGTAGTTTTGTTCGTGATGGAGGGGAAAGAAGAGCGTTTGCATCAAATTTTGTGTTAAATTGGGGAAAACATTTACTGAAACTTTTCAGATGTTACAAAAAGCTTTTGAGGATGAATGTTTGAGTCGTTCAAAGTGTCACGAATGGCTTAAAAGGTTCAAAGAAAGCCGGACATCAATCGTAGACGATCTTCGTTCAGGACGCCCAACAGTTTCGACTGACAACGTGCATGTTTCCTAAGTGAATTACCTCGTGCGTTCGAATCGACGTCTAATCATTCATGAAATGACAGAAGAATGCAACATTTCATTTGGTTCATGCCAAGGAATTTTAATAGAAAACGTGCATATGCGTCGAGTGGCAGCAAAGTTTGTTCCGAGGATCAAAAACAATGAAGAGTTCAAGTTTCTGAAGAAATTTTTTAAACGGCAAATGACGATGAAAACTTTTTAAGAACCATAATTACTGGCGATGAAACATGGGTGTATAGGTACGACGTGGAAACAAAGATCCAATTATCATAATGGAAGACTCGCACCTCTCCACGACCGAAAAAAGCTCCTCAAATGAAATCATGCTTACAGTTTTCTTTGACTGTCTACCACGAATTCTTTCCTAGAGGTGAGACAATTAATCGTTTTCGTTACCTTGAAACCTCGAGAAATTTATGTGAAGCTGTGAGAAAGAAGAAACCAGAAATGTGGGCAAGCGGGAAATAGGTGCTGCACCACGACAACGTCCCTGTGCATTCTTCGCTCGTCATTCAAAATTTTTGCACCAAAAATGCGATGACTGTAATTTTCCAGCCTCCCTATTCACCAGATCTGGCCCAGCAGACATATTTCTGTTCTCAAAAATGAAAAGGCCCATGAAAGGAGAAAGGTTTGAAGATTTTGAAGCCATAAAAAAAAATCGCTGGAGGAACTGAAGAGCATTCCGGAAGAAGACTTCCAGAGAGCATTTCTGCAGTGGAAGCGGCACTGGGAAAAGTGTATTGATACCCAAGGAGAGTATTTTGAAGGAGATACAGTTTTGTAATTTTAAACTATTAAAAATAAATTTATATAAAAAAGTCCCGGTTAGGAGACTTAGTTTTTTATTTTGTCCATATCTAACCGGGCGTTTTTCTTTATTCCTTCTCGGTTCTGATTCTATTGTTTTGACAGTTTCATTTTTAAAAAACTAATAACCATGTAGTGATCAGTGTCGCCATCCGCTCCTCTATAGCTTCTTACAGAATTTATACGGGATTTAAATCTTTTATCGATCACCACATGATTTATCTGGCTTTTTTTATTGGCCATCTGAGGCTATCCAAGTATGTTTATATATATCCTTTCGTTGGAACTGCGTACTGCTTATTACCAGCCCTTTATCTGTGCATAGACTAATTAATCTCATACCATTATTATTGCTTTCTTTGTGTAAAATTTTTTTGCCCACAATTGGTATGAAGATATTCTCTCGCCCTACTTGAGTATTAAAATCTTCTACTACTATTTTTATGTATTCTTTATGGATATTGTCAAGTACTCTATCAAGGTCATCGTAAAATTGATCCTTTAGTTCACAATCTGCCGTTTCCGTTAGAGCATAACAATTGATGATCACTGAATCAAATATTTTCCCAGTTAATATTATGTAGCATATTCGGTCGTTGATGGGTTCAAATTTCTTTACTAATCTCGACAAGGATGCCTTAATTATAAAACCAAACCCATTCTCGTGTTTTCCATTGCTCTTTCCACTAAAGAACAGTCATATTTTTGGATTTGAGATTGCCCGATCCTGGCCATCTAATCTTCTGCAATCCCACTATATCAACATTGTATCGGTTAATTACCTTTAATACGCATTGTAAAGAACCTGGTTTATACAAGGTTCTAATGTTCCATGTTCCAAATCTCAAAATTCCAGCATTTCCAGTCAGATTTCCAAGTCTGTTATCCAAATTATCAATCGATTTTCGAGGCATAGTGGTTTTTGGTTTCTTAACATTATTTTTTTACAAGGATAGGTCGTTGACCCGTCGCTTAATCCCCAACTTGGAGAACCAGTTAGACCCTCCCAACCATTTAAACTTAGGAGAGAATGGCTACAGCAATGCTTCAAGTACATTGGGCGATAGGAGCGCCACTTTCTCTACGCTGGAGTATTATAAATTATGACTAATTTTAATCATAAATTTTTTAATAATAATTATTTTGAATAAACCACGATTATATTCTTCAAATTTAATGTATTAAGATCTCAATTTTTTATATAAACGTCATATTTTATTATATATTGATATACTTTATTTACTATATTCGATACTTTAGGTACGAAAAAAGGTCTAGAATGTACGTGACTATTGTTACGCGGTGGGTCCATCTCCATGCGATAACGCGTATCGATAGCTCGCGAATATTCTGGAACTAAGATAGACCTATATATATATTATTGCGCTACAGAGGAAAAAACGTAGTATGTTATTGATGGCCCGTGCGACGTGTTCGTCCTTCTCCAGTATGTAATTTCTATTTATTTTATTAAAGGTATGACTGTTTTTATGCTTTCATTTTTTTTTCGTCTTGAATCTACGCGATCTCATTAACTCTCCCATCAATATGTACAAAATTAAAACTAATATTGAAGATCATCAACTATTACACACTTAGCAATCTTAATATTCTTTTGAATAATTCTAATTTTGGTAATCAAAGCCCTATTAAGGCATCTTATTGCGTAAATATAACATAAATGTTTTTTCTTTGCTAATTTTAATCTCTATAAAAATTTTGTAAAATAACTAAATCATATAAAAAATCATCTAACTTAATCATTTTTCGTAATTAATTTTTTAACTTACATTTATTTTAAATACTTTATTTCTCAATATACAGTGTGTAAATGCTAACAGAGAACATTCAATCTTTGCGTATAGACCTGCAATTCGAATTCTACTTTTATGTTGGTTTTTATGACATAGAAATGTGTGTTTTTACTAGTTTTTAATTATTTTAACTTAAATAGACAAGCGCATGCGCGGTACAATTATTTTTCTTAAATGGCAATCACTTATTTTAACCACTAATTATTTTTCTCCTATATTTTTAATCAATTTTGGTAGTTAAACCAAGTTTCATAGTCCAGAGTTGACTTGATCTCATCCGCAAACAAACTTACTTACAGAATAAGCTTGCAATTTTTGTAACTTATTCCAGTGGTGGATCCAGGGATCCAGGATTTTCTTTTAGAGAGGGTTTTAAAAATGTTTTCCCTTAAGATATTTTTTATAATGTTGCAGTCTATGACTGATAATGAATTAAGATAATATTAAGTAATATAGTACATTAATTTAAATCTAAGACTACTATTATCTTGTATGAATAAAAATATAAATTATATACTTTTCCTCATTCTTATAAAAAAAAAAATGTTCTGAAGTCATAAAATTATTGATTTTTAATATATACTTTTCCTGATTTTATGGTGGGGTTTAACCCCCCCCCTGGATTCGTCACCAGGATTATAATAAAATAAATTTTATTTTTGTAGCAATAAACCTATGTTTATTATTATTATGATTAATTTTAAATAAACTCTCCTATTTAAATTAATTATCTATATCTAAGTAAGACAATCAATTTTTCTCAGAGTCTTCTTTATCTTTAATTTCTCCTTCCTTAATGTTCATATTCAGTCACGATACCTGACGATAAATTTTTAAATCGAAAACGTTCGTAATTTATAAATATAAAATAATACTCTATGCCAGTGTTTCTTAAACTGTGTTCCGCGAAACCCTGGGGTTCCGCAAAAATCACTTCAGGGTTCCACGAAGCTTTTAAGAAAATTATTTTAAAATTTCCAACTAAAGATTAGTAATGGTGAAAAACTGTTTACATTATAGAAAAAAAAAAATCTTTGTAAATTAAATAACAATGTATAAGCCATATTATGGAATAGTCTAAATTTATATTTAGTCTAATTAAAGTAATTATTATTTAAGTATTATAATATATATATGTATACAATTATTATTATTTTTATTTTAACATATTTTTTGAATTAAATACCTTTAACATAATATCATTATATGTTTATAGTTTATTTACAAATAATCTTAAAAAAAACTCTAAAAAGCTAAAAAAAAAGTAGGGGTTCCAAGATAAATTTGGACATCAGAAAGGGTTATACGGATAAAAAAGTTTAAGAAACGCTACTCTATGCTAAGCATTTATTTATTTCTATGTATAAACTATTGGTTTATTTCTACATAATATTTGCTTATACGAAAACTATGAAACGAATTTTAATCTATCAAATAGTAAATATAATCCAGTAAATTATTAACTGTATTTTCAATGACTCGCTGACCCAATGGACTGCCGTCCATGTAAATATTATTTGATACCTGAAAATATCGGCACCACTGACTACCTGTCCCGGGAACATTGTGTCCGAAGGGTAAGAGCAGTAGTTCAATTACGGATCTCTATTATTACATAGCCGTCCTTCGGTATTGCTGCAATTGCGTAATCTACGGTACCCCAGTGCGCATTACAATAATGGTTCATATCGTATAACAATAAACAAACTCGTTTCTTCCATGTATCCGTTGGCGACGACCGGCGACCATCTTGTTTAGGCTCGAAAAAAAAAAAACATTTGCGCCCGCCGTCCGCTCGTCTATCGCACCGCCACCGTGGTGTCAGACGACAAGGTACGGCCGTAGCGGTCGCACGCCAGCGCTCCGCGGATCAAACGGCGGCGGCACGCATAGCCGCGCGCGATTGGATCGCGAACGCAACGGCGACGCTCTACGTGACGACCGGCGTTGTAATGGTGACCACGCGCAACTCGCGCTTGCACCGGTCGCGTGACGTCACCGGCGGTCGGACGGCGCGCGCTTGTTCAACGGGCCGCCGTACCTTGTTCCGCGGCGCGCTGCGCGTCGTGCGTTGTCGGCGGCGCCCGGTACCGTCGACGGCGGCCGCGGATCAGCCAGTGGAGTACAACTACAGAGAAGGTGAACATCAGGCAGGAGCTAGCGTTGGGGTTATTTTTTTCCATCTTTAACATCAAAGCACGGCCACCGTCCTAACAACCAAATGGCGGAACAAGTCGGCGAAAGGAGGCCTGAACGGCAGCAAAAGCCCGTGACGCAAAAGCCGGTCATATGTAAGTTGTGTTACGCACATGCCTCGACGGTCCGCGCGCGCTCGGGGGGTTCATCCCACGCACGACACGGTCCGCGCGTCGCCATTGATCGCTTCACGTGCTTTTGTGTAGCGTATCCCGTCCGGGGCAAAAGCTCAACGACTTTTTTCTACCCACGCAGCCCTGGTGACGGCGATGCGATTTTTTTCCCATCATCTTATTGGAAGCTTTTCTCGCTTCCGCGTCTTCCGACAAGTACGCACACCATCGTCCACGCACGCCAGACGACGCTTCGTCGTCACTGTGGCCCTGGAATTACACGCGCGCCGTCACTTTCAATGCAGTGACGGCGACCGATCGTCAGATATCATTGTAAACATCGCCGGTGATAGCCTTGCCGCCGCCGACGGTGTTTAACGTTCCGTTTGTTTTGATTGCGCCACTCAATTGCCATTTTATCATCGTTTTATCATGTCGCATGTGCCGTACGCGTCGTATCCGAAACTCCTGTGACCGTCATCGGTTCTTTTGCTGAACAATTCTATAGAAACCGGAACAAATGGATATCGATCGACGGATAAGACCTGACTCTGATATGTTGCATTGATCACGATCTCGCTTTCATTGTTGTTGTTATTGTTATTGTTAATGGTAATACACGATTCGACACGCGCGCACGATGATGAACCTCCGAAACGCGTGGCCGCCTCGTTGAATAGTATGAAGTCGCGAACGTTTGTTATGTAGACATGATGTTGTATGATATAACCGTATACGGAGACTAAATAAATTATGTACTACATATTATTTAATCAGTGGTTCTTTGCTATTAACCTCGCGTTTCCGGCCACCGTTGAGATGTAATCAATTGCGAGTTTTTTATTTATTTAAATTTTATTTTTACCGTTTCAGCTGTGAAGGTAACTGGTGTAGTCAAATGGTTCAACGTCAAAAGCGGCTATGGCTTTATCAACCGGTGAGTTCTGATTTCTTATGTTCGTTTTCATTGAATTAATAATGAACTGTCAAATTTATTATTGTTAGGTGTGTACGTTTTTAATTCATAATTGTTAATTATTTTTTTAATTGTTTACCTAAATAATATAATATCATACAAGGTATTCAATTAGTACAACACTTTAACTAATTATATTTTTCTGTCTATGGTGACAAATTCTTAACAGATATGTTTTTATTTATTGTTTTACAAATTAGTGAAAATAAATTAAATTTAATCATAAATATAAACTCTACTACATTTATTAAAATACCGATTGTACATAATACATATTATTATTTATTCATTTTTTGTTATTTTTTTTTTTAGTAATGATACAAAAGAAGATATATTTGTTCACCAGGTAAATCAATTAATCATAATTATAATCTGTAAAAATTATTTTAACTATTATTATTTTTGTTCAAAATACTATTGAATGTAACATCTATTTATTTTGGAACTGAATATTAAGTAATTGAAAATTGCTACATTCCACTGTTATTTTCTTTTAAGTATAATATTTTTTTAATTGACCTTTTTAAATTCTATGAGTTTATTTAAGCAAATAAAACGTATGCAATTTATGAAATGTATTATTTTTCATTACCTATAAATACACTTGCATGTTCCATAGATTAAACTGCATTATGTTTTAATACCATAATTATTTATATTTTAATAAATTAACATTTTTTTTTTTTAAATTGTATTAAATTATATTTTGAAGTATATTGAATTAGAAACTACTCTAGTAGATTAGATTAATTAGATTAAGTAAATTACATTATAAATAAAATTAAAATTTTAAGTATGATACATATTTTTTTTAGCTTTTTAAATTTTCAAAAATTTTCAGTCTGCTATAATCAAAAACAACCCGAAAAAAATAGTAAGAAGTGTTGGTGATGGAGAAACAGTTGAATTTGATGTTGTTGAAGGTGAAAAAGGTCATGAAGCTGCTAATGTTACTGGACCAGAAGGAGAAGCTGTCAAGGGATCTCCTTATGCTGCTGAAAGAAGAAGAAGTAATTATCGCCAATGGTTTTATGGACGTCGTCCTAACACTCGTGGTAGGAATGGTGGCCAACCTCCAAGAGATGGTAGTGCTGGTGGTATGTATTACAATTCAATTTTTACTGTTTTCAATATTAAATTATATTATGATATTAGGCGAAAAAGAAGATGCAGAAAATGAAGTAGGAGATCAGCAAAGACGGTTCCGCCAACCACGTCAACAAAATTGGTATAACAGCTATCGTGGAAACCGAAGAGGTCCACCTCCAAATAGAGGAGAAGGTGGTGAATACAATGTAAGCTTTGTTGTTATAATTCATATAATTGTTAATATTTTAATTTATAGTTATGTTTTAAATAAATAATAAAACATTTTTTGATTTTAGGGTGGAGATAACTATGGATATGATAGTTCTCCTCCTGGTGGTAGAGGTAGAGGTCGTGGTATGGGTGCTCCCAGGCGTTTCTATAGGCGTGGTGGTGGATATAGAGGTAGCCGTGGTGGTACTGGTGGTCCACCCCGAAGACCATATCAAGATGAAAATCAGGTACAAATTTATATATATTTTTAATGCTAAAACCAAATGTAGGATAATGTAAAAAAAAATTGTTTTATATTTAAAATTTATTTTACCTGAGATGAAATTTTTTTATATTTTTAATAAAATGTTATTTAAACATTTAACAGATAAAAATGTAATTAAAAAAAAAAAAAAAATATTTATATTATTGGTTGATTTTTATATTATTTATTTATAGGAAAATGAATATAACAACCAAAGTGACGAAAATGGAGCTAACAGACCCCGTCCTCGTTACCGTCGCCGCAATAATCGTTCACGTGCAAGAAGTGATGGTCCTCCAAGAGCCAATAGCCAAAGTGACAATGAATCCAAACAAAAGGTTGGTTATATAAAAGATAATTGTTAATAATATTTAGTGCCTTCATATAACATTATAACCATATGGTTATATGGTTATTTACTTAATCATTAATTTTGTTTAATGAAATTAACTATTGAAGTATAAATTATTTATATCATGTTGACCTTTATATTATAATTTTTTAAACAATAAATAATTATTTTACTGTTTATGTAAATTATTTTAATTAGGTTTTTATGTTTATTTCATGAACTAATTTATTAATATTTTTTTTAGAATTTTGGAGGTGAAACTTTGGAACTGGATGAAAGTAGCCACGCTTAAACATCAGATTAATCTGCGAACAGTATATTTATCATAGAATCTTGTTTTAATTTTCTCTTACGCATTTGTGTTTTTCATGTATCTAATCTTGAACGTTTTATTTGTTCCACTCGCCACGGTTATGACTTGTATAAGTTCTACAATAATCAATTTGGTTTTTTGATTGCCTACATCTTTTGATATGTATTAACTCTTCTATTAAAACCCAATCAAGACCTGGGTCATTGGTTATCTTGCTTGATCTTGATCTGTAAATCTTACATCTTTAAAGTATTTTGCATGATAATTTTTTCCTATTTATTATTTTTTTTTTTTTTTTTTTTTATATATTTAATTATCACAAAAATTGATTTTTTTATGAAACATAAATGTGTTGAATACAACAAAAAAATATTGAATAATACTATATTTTAGACAAGCAATGTGTGCCTGAGTAAAATGGAAGAAAAACGAAATATATATTTGTATAATTTCGTATTTATTAGAATTGTTTTATTACTATTTAAAACCTTATAATTTATTCTAAAAAAAAAAAAGGTAAAAAAAAAGTGGAATGTAATTCTGATCCTAAGTTTAAAGTTAATGTATGCAGTTCACATATCAAAATTCATAACATTATTTTCGTACTAGTTTTTAAACATTTGTATAGTGTTAAAGAAATTAATTAGAAGAGAAAAAATATTTTTAGATATATATAAAAATGTATTATTTTAGTGTACATTTTGTGAAATTATGATACAGTTTTCATACCAGTTAAAAGTTTGTAACATAATATTATTATTTTACTTCAACTTGATTTAAGGTTGGTAAAATAGTGTGTATTTTCCTGTTTCAAAATTAATATGTGATTAATTTCTCAGCAAATATTGTATTTAATTTAATTTTAAAAGATTAAAGTCAAAAAACAATAATTGACTGTGTTAGTACAGATTTGTATTAACGAATGGTTTTTAAACTGCTACAAAAAAAAAAAATTAAGTTATCAACATTTTTCCAAATAAGTTGAAAATTAATCTGATGGATTTTGTCTTTTTTCGTGTATGGAATATGTACACGCAAACTTCATTATCTTAACAAATTTCTTTTATATGATTGCCATGTTCATTTTGTAAATTATTGTTTATATCAGCAACGCATTTCAATTTAAAATATTCTTTGAGAGAGATAAACAATATAAATTAATGATGATTGTTGAAATCTTTGAATTATACAAAATGCAATGATTTAAAAATTATTGTTTTTATATTTATGTGTGTAATACTATTATGTTTTTTAAATCATTACTTACTATATTATAAATATTTAATATTACCTTTCCGATGATTGTATTGACCTGCCTGTTGAAAACCGTGGTTGATGTTTGAGGAATGAGATAAGGTAACCAATTCGTACTTTAAAATACACGTATTTTAAATTTTTACAGAACATTTTTCAACTAATTATGTCTTTCTGCATAGACGATTTGCGTAGTCTTTTACATTCGCCTTTGACTGTTTATACAAAAGGACAACAAGAACGTGTCTTCTCTAACTATAAAACTATGATGTGTGTACGTGTGTGTGTAATATCTTATCTTTAATACTTACGACTTATTATTATATTTAATGGCTATCGAACATAATAATTATTTAATTATACATTCAATTTTAAAAATTATATGAATGTTTAGGCGCATATTATTACAAATAATTTAGCAAAATCAGTCTATGGTTGTAAGCTTGATCATATTATTTGCTAATTTTTTTTTTAGTTTCATCATAAATATATCAATGCATAATCAAATATAGTTTGGTAATACACGGGAGTTCACGATAAAAAGTTTGCAACCCATTTGTTAATTTTTAAATTAAGAATGTGTATAAAAAATGCCTTGCGTACAAAATTGACAAGATATTTTGTTCTGAATAGTTATTGGTATTATTAATTAATTCAATGTGAAAATTAGTACACAAAAAAATGTAAAACATTCATTTTTTCATATAGTTACCCAATGGTAAATAATAATAAATGATAACTACGGTAAAATGGATATTGGCGTCACCTAATAATAATTATATATTATTATATTACTCTGCATTTTAGTTCTATTGTTTACCTTAATTACTAATTGTTTCAGAAGACAGACTTCACCTAGGTGTCTACCTCTTGAGTTTTAGAACCCACCTTCGGATAGTAAAGAGTATTAAGACAATCAAGTTTTATACACGAATTGTGTTTGAAGATATGACATTATTAACTCAGTACCCATTCTTTTGTCTGTGAGATTGACTTCCTACCTCCTTTTATTATTTTATACCAATATATTTAGATCGGCCACTATCCGTTCCCAAACAATACGACACGATCACTAAACGAGGAAGGCATAGAATAAAAATTTCATAGATACATTTATTTTTAGATCACTTTTTCGTACAAATAAAATAATTCAAACAATTAAATATTGAAAAGGCCCAGTTATTATTGAAACCGATGTCTTATTTAATTCATTTTTTTCATAGGTGGTGCGATCATTTACTTTTAGGGGAGTTTAAAGGAAAAAAAATACTATATTATAATATAATATATAGTATATACTATGCTACATTAATAAATAACTTAAGAGCTATATATTTAATATTTTTTACGTTTTCGTTTTGGCTCGATGACGGGAGTACAATATGTATGGTTTTAATATTCAACACATGATCCGTGTTATCCGAACAGTCGGTTAGTCCTGCCGTCACGAGAATCGTTCCTGAAAAGAGATACCGTGTCGCGTGTGGCCAAAAACCTAAGGCACGTTTAATTATTCTAGGCGTGGGCGGCATGAAACAGTCAAAATAGTGTGTACCTACCGTGTGCGATGGCTATGTATTCATGAGTGGCTGCCATGTAGTCGGGGGATCGGCTGCATTGATTTACAGAGTTGTTTCCACTGTCGCCGAACGGTTATTATGATAAAAAACGTGATGAATGTGTGCTTACTGAAATTCGTATACGGCCAAATTTGATCTGAAAAAATCTAGATCGTTTTGGAATGATGGCGGGCGTCCGTGTAATATTTAATTTCCAGCAAATTTTGGGCCATCGGCATGTATTATCCGTCAGTCAGACGGGCGTACCACTGGTAACAAGTAAACAAACTTCAGTTGATTTCGCCTGTTTTTATTAGTCCGAAGCTAAGCCAGCTCATAACACGAAAATTGAAACGGCCAGGTGGTAGTAATAATACATAGGTAACGCAACAGTGTTTCATCGCTACGATACCCACTAAATGTTGTAAAACACACGACCTCAGTGCACTATGGCATTTGCAATCTCGATTATTATCCCCAAAGCGGCCTGTCTGACGTTATCTGTCGTGATCTTACTCCACGTGGAAACTCGCTCACTCAACAATATTTGAACTATTTCAAAAATGAAATTTTAATGATGATATATAATATTGGTAACTTAAAAATGTCGTCTTGCATTCATGTAATATATTTGTCCATGGGTTTCTAAATGTAAAACAGCAGTTTGATATTGTTAACGACCGGGCTATCGAGCCATTTTTTAAAATTGGACGGTGGTAAATTCTGGCCACTTTGGTTCCCCTCCCACCATTCCAAAAACGACACTAATTACATAAATAATATAATATATCAATATACATGCAATAGAAAGAAAACAGAACTATGGATATTATTTTCCAATTTTATACATGATAGTATATTCTAAAACTGTAGTACGTACGTCTTACGAGCGACTCGTCCCCAAACATTCTTTCGCTATGTCCGTGATAGATTCCAGAGAGTTATTGAATTGTTTTTTCTATTTGTACTTCACCAGCAGTTATCATGGATTCTTGCATCAATAACTCTCGAATCGATCAGCCTCGTACACATGGCACGCGGTTGTTGTTGAAATAAAAGGACGGAAAATTATTAATTTTGAATAAATAAAAATAATAATTATAATTTATTAGTTATTTGTCTTTTATTTTCACACATTTAAAAAATCACACGAATTACAGATTGTATATCTTATAAATAAATAGATCACAAAACAAAATAATACATTTAATATTGTCTACGATAAATAATAGTGAGATATCATGTTTTTTTATAAACTATTATACCACATGTGATAATAACCATATGGGTATTAAAATATTTATATACCTAATACCGGTGTAGTTTATATTATATACCAGGGATGGCAAACTTTTTGAACACTGCATGCCAAAATTACTTTTTTTTTTTTTATAGAGCGGGCCCACAAAATCTTTTTGCGTGCCATGGATTTGCCATCTCTGTTATATACCCAACCATAATATTAATGGTACAGGTTTCCGTTAGTAAATTATCCAGGTAATGTTAAATATTCAATTGGATTCGATACAATTTTCTTTAGCCGGAGGAAACGTATTTTTAATAACAGATCTACTAAGTATATTAACAGTTAAATGCTTCAAACGAAAAACATTTGAAATATGTTACCGATTTGGGCGCCTATTTTAAGTTTCGTTAATATAATAATACTGAATTCAAGCGCAGATCGGTCTTAATGTACATTTAAATATTTAAATATGTTAATCGGTATTGTAAATTGCATTGCATTGATTCTAAAAATTGTTTTCCGTGTTTGCACCATGTATTACGGTATTGTGATCGTCGATGAATCGTTTTTAACGCGGATGGACGAATGTGTGGTTTCTTTGCAATTCAAACGTACTTAGCAGGTAGACAAATGGAAAACAAACACCATAACACTGCAGTCCAGCTGTATTTATATACGCATCATAAAAAAAAAATCTAATTTACTGATTTCTACCAGATTTCCGTAAAAACTATTTATTATTTAATCGATAAAAAATATCTAACTATATACACAATGAACCGTGGTGCGTATCTAGTTTTAATAATAATAATACCTATATTTAATAGATATAAATGTATGTTTGGTATAAATAGAATTTATCAAATATTTAGTCCAAAAAAACACAGACACTAAAGATTAAGATTTTATAATGCATTATAATTATGTGTATATTTGATACGAATAAAAATTATCAAATATCTACGAAAATTCAATAAATAGTTAAGAGTTTTAGATTTTCTAAACAATTGAAAATCGATATCGATGTATTTTTATGATTTCCATAACATACAACAATATTCTACAGGTAACTACGATAGTAAATCTATAATTTTATGTATTGTCGAATTACTTTTTAATTAATTTATCACCTCGCATTTAATTAATTACATTAATGATTTTTTTTACACTTAAATCCTTTAATCCTAAGACTGAATTGAAGTAATTTGTTCGTATTTAAACAAAACAAAAAAAATAATAATAATAAATAAATAGAATAAAAAGATTTTAAAAGTATTGGTTATAAACGGATAAATTACATAACATGTCAACACGTTATTAGTTTATTACTCCAATATGTAATAGTATGTAAATTTTTAAGATATTTTCTAGTAAATGAATGTACCTATTTAAAGAAAATATATTTGACAAGGAAATACTTCAATTATTATGTATAGATAAGAAGTATACGCAGTATTGATACCGTCTATTAAAATAATCTACATTTAAGATAAAATAGTCAAAATTATTGAACGTATTAGTTCTTATTATAATTTTTTTATACTTGAAATGTTATGATTTATCAGCTACTTTCTTTTGCCAAAAATTGATAGACACATATTTACGTTAAGTTGTCCTATACTCTATTTAAGTTACTACAATAATACACATTTCAATAATTTGGCATAACCTAGTGAGTAACTAATAATATAAAACAATAATTTATTACGTATAAATAAATATATACAAACAAGGATATACTAATATATAACTATACATCACTATAATAATAATACACAAATACACAAATACTTAGTATTGTAAATAAAAATTAATAAATAAGATGGAAAAGAGTAGGTACGTGACAAATATGCTGACCTTATAAATATAACATTATGCACAATATTACCTACATAACCTGGTATAATTTAACAACCTAAAGGATAATCGTATAAATCATACCTATAACCACTGCTTGACTTGGTAAAATTAAAGGGGGACTCTGTTTACTTTATAGAAAATAGCGTCCCCAAGACTTTTTAAGCGTTATAATTATAACGTAATAACAATAGGAGGACACTAACATTTCTGAAAATTAGTAGGGGTTCTCCGTCCTCCTGCATCCACCCCCTCAAGTTAAGCACTGCCTATTACAAGTTATGCATTAGTTTATTATATTTAGTTATGCATTCAGTTTAGTATGAGTTTCAGTGTTTACTATAATAATTGTCTACATGGCTACATTAAGAATATGATAATGATGACGATAATGATGAAAATAATAATAATAATAATAATTGTAATAAAAAAATCGTTCGTCTGCCACTTGATCGTAATGCTACAATACGAACAGTAAATGGTTTGTACGTTACGCGTAGGAAATTGTTTGTTCCGATAAGAATATGATAATCTATTAGAAGATTTGTCGTTTATTGCGACCAAATAATAATAATAAATACTGGTCTTATAAATAAATAAATAAATTATAATGTGCAACGCGGCGGACACGGAATCAATACGATAGGTTGTTCCTGATGTAAGCCTTCTTCCTGTGCTCGTGCCTGTGACACTTGCCCCACCATGTCTTTTTCGTACACACCCGCACGTTCTTCAGCACGAAACACTTGGTCTGCACCACGTTGAAGAACAGCTTGCCGATCAAGTTCGCGGATCCGGTGCCGATCACTTTCAAACACGATCGAAACCTGCAACATTATTCATATTATGCGCCTTGTAATACACAGGGTATCTAACACAGGGTCTCTAACTTTTGTCCGTACGAGTATATTTCTGGACACACATTCGGTTTTCACTGGTACACAAATTATGGACGAAACATGAATAACGATTTAGGCATAAACCCAATAGGTATAGAAAAACTATAACGCGTTTAGGCTGATCGAACATTTAATGTATTACGTTAATAGGTAGTGCAGAGGACTGATGTTAAACGATATTTGCCACGCTATAACTTTTCTACATAATTTTGTGTTATAACGTTTTTAATCTTTAATATGCGTATGATGTTTTTATGCGCGAGCTATTCTAAAAAATGCAAAGCTATATAGGTTTCCGACAAAACAGTCACATCTGTGCGTACGTTTAAAACTATAGTGTTGGTGCGATTAATACATGTGTACTCGTATGGTGCGTAGATTTACTATTAATAATAAGAGTTTTTTTAATTTTTTTTTATTTAAGAGCTTTCAATAAGAACTGTATTGTAGCTCAACAATATAATAATAGTTATCGACTACAATATTCCGTATTGCTGTATACATTCAAGTAATTATATTATAGTTCATTGTGTTCATATTGTTCACTAGTGCTGTGCATTACAGGGACGGTTGGAAGAGAGAACAAAGATAGAAGGTAAAAAAACACGTGCTGCGAAGAAAATCGTCACGAGCTTCCGCGGCTGATTTTGCTTAATAACGCACTAATTAAGCGTATAGTAACGATATTACATAATATTATTACAATGCACATACATAGAATCATTGTCATTTACAGCAGGTTACCGTATACCGACAATCCTGTTCATAAATACCGGGGAGTGTACTCAGGTGCCCAATCAAACAGTCAAACAGTCTTTCTCGTTATAATACTGTTATGTTTTCACTGATAGTTTACAATAGCTTTTTTTTTTTTATATATATATATAACTTACAATAATATGACACGTGCATTTTATATTGTTAAAAGTTTAACTGTCACTACAATTATACCATTTATCAAGCGGTATATGTTAAACGCCGCATTAACTTCCATTAATGCTTGATTATATTAGGTTACGAAAGTTATTAGCTATATTATAAAAAGTATGTATAAAATACATAAATAAAATATAAATCCCAATAATTTAGGTACAGTCGCTAACATTGTGTGCAGATATTATGAAAATATAATGTTATTCATGGCATACCTAAGATTATTAAGTCAAGGTGAGTAACTGTAACCTTCTCCATACTTAAAATTGAACAGCTCGCCCTGCAGCTACGATTTTTGCCAACAAGGATAACCCGCATGGATAGATTTCAACGGGCACTGTATGTTTCGCAGATTTATTATTTCGCATATTTATCATCCGATATAGCGAAACAATATAATAAGGTCGTGACAAGAGGTTTTCGTCAAATAGTAGTGCTGTTAGACGGGTTATAGACGCACAAATACGGCTGTTAACGTTGAAGTAGACAACATTGAATATTTGACAGTATAGTTTTCTTATTATAACACCATTTTTAAAGAGTAGTGAGGCTGTTTTATTAACACGAAATAAATAAAAGATGATTTTCGATAGATGTATATATACATCGTTCGACTGTGCATTATTATGTAGTTACCGAATCTCAAAATGTAAAATTGAATTTGTTTGGTCGTAAGGCAAAGCCTGAGAGATTCCGTAAATCGGTTCGGCTAAACGGCCGGCAACTGACGAGCCGCGGTCCTAATACTGACCACGAAATGCAGTCAACTGGACCGCCAACAGAGCATACATTGATCACGACATCAATCAAAAGAGTTCAAACCAGTGATGGTGGGCGAAACGTCGAGGCATCAAACGTTATCATCTTTCCCCCCCCCCCCCTTAACGTCGATCACTTAAATATTTATCGCGATGGATAATTCTTGTGCACACTTTACCTACGTGTGTGGTACACGCTACGCTCGTCGTGAAATATAAAATAATACGACTGGACCGCACACGTCCCAGTGGAATTTTATAGACGCAACAAAGGGTTTCATTGTTTTTTTTTTATCGGTATCATATCTGCAGCCTCCATAACACATTGTATACCATTAGACATTTTTAATTAAACTTTTTACTTCAAACACAACATTTAACAAAGCAAAATTACTTTTATTCTTCAATTTGTATCTGTACATGTAATGCGGAGGATAGAAAAATATTTTATTTTTTTATGGGGGGGCTAGACAAACATTAGGGGGCTAATCCTCCCCTTAGTCTCTAATTAGTTGCGCCTATTCGGAGTTCGCACTTCGTAACTGTGCACAGTCCTTCCGCGTTGAAAACGTCCGACGTTCGACGTCGTTCGGTTACTATCTTGCTCTAAAACGAACAGGCGTACACACTAGGTCCGAGTTCAAGGTTTCGCGCACGGGTCCCGCACAGAAGCGAACCATCATCGCCAACTTCGTCATCATTGTCATCATCGTAATCGCCAACTTCGTCATCGTTACACCGTCGTCGTCATCCTATTATACTCCGCGTACGCCGTCCTACACACCGGTCCACCCGGGTCACATGTCGTACACACGTCTACCCGCACGCTAGCGTCACGTCATTATACCGGCGCAACAGGTATTTATCGTGTCACAACGTGACGAAATCGCCGACGACCGGAATTCCTCCCCCTCCCCACGTACCGCACCAAGCGCACCACGTTCTATTCGCCGACCGGGTGAGCGTGGACGGCGTTTAACGTGTCTGTAATGTTCGGGTACAGCGACCCCGCGAAAAACAACGCGAAACCTTGACTGCGCCCGCGAACAACGTTGCTGCAGGGCACATGATTGATGGGCGCACGAACGCTTCCCCCCCCTCCTACTTCAAAGATCGTATTGTAATGATCACATGATTGTAATGATATACCACAATGTACATGGCACATTGTTTTTCATGCCAACCGTTTTGAAGCAGGTAAATCGCTCACCTCACCGTTCGAAATAAGCATATATCCTCGCGACGGATTGTTGCGCAGGGCGAACAATACGTTTCGAGTTGAACCCCCTCTCCGGTCGATCGCGTACGCAACCCTGGGGGAACGTTCGCGTACGGTTGTATACGATCTCCGGTCTAGCCACATCGTTCGATTTGTTCTTAGTTTTTCCATTTGTCTAGCGTCAAAATCAACGGAAACCAAGACGACGTACCGCGGAAACCGTGTACTCGTCGCATGCGTACGCACACGCACATCATCGCATCATTACCGCTAACGGGACTCGAACGTCTCGCGGTTGTCAGGATTTGGATCCTGTTCGCAGGTCCTGTATGACCATGCAGAATGGCGTGCCGTACCGAAGTCACATGCACGTACGGTTTTAATCACCCGCTGAAGATAAACGTGCACGCGGGTCTTGGACTGGTGAATCTTTCAACACCTATTCTACAATCGTTCCGTATTAGTTCTCTGATCCCACGATCGTTTTAAAACAGGTTTTAGACGAAACTGTAATTGATTTTTTTTTATCTAGTCGCGAGCAGACGTCGTCTCCAGCATAGTTTCTCCGAAACTCGGACCGTTCGAGTTAATCCGACAGCGATTATTTACACTTTTCCGCTACGTTGCAACACATCGATTAAAGCCTGTCTGCGTTGTATTCGCGAATGTGTTCGATTATTTGATTCTCAAAAGTTAAATTGAATATTGAGACTTTTTGAATCGTAGAATTTAATACAGATTTGCGTTAGTGACGTAACTGATGAAAACCCTAAAGACAACGATTCGTTTCAATATCATTCGATCTTTCTAGTGTATAAAAATGCACAACATTGTGTTAAATTGCATTTAAATTTAAATCGAATGTAATTAATATTCATTCATAGATAAGTACATCGCGATAAAACCACTATTTCGATTGTATTATGTTGTTTTGTGGAGTTTAATTGGAAACGAATTATTTAAATAACTTGACTACATTTATTTTTATAAATATGTTTAAAAAAAAAACTTTTTTTGATTAAACATAATATTTTAAAAGTGCGTCCATGCATTTGAGTATTAGATGTTTTATTGAGTCATACATAACCACATATCTACTTATATTAGCTTATAATTAATTATTGTTTATCCTGATATAACAGGAAATGGGCGGTAGTTAAGAAAACTAACGATGCAGCTATATTAAATGCCTTGTCTACATTGTAGGCATATTTTATTTTATGCAGACATAATGCGTTATTGTATAACACAATAATAAATGTAAATAAAATAGCTTATTAAATTGGAATTTTTTAAGTGTAATATTATGTATTTTATAGTATTCGGAATGTTCACTTAAAAATTAAACTCTTTCATGTTCACGTTCAAATTCTATGAATAAAATGAACGCGTTCATTTAAATTTTTTTACTTAATATTTATGAATTACCTACATGTATTCTGTATAAATGGACCTTTACAAAATATACTAGATATATTTTACTTCATCTTTAAAATCTATACTTAAACATATTATAATCAATATTTATTATTTTTACATATATTTTTAAAATTACAAATGAATTTGAATGCCCCAAAAATCGTTTGAACTCATTATAAATATAAACTTCGTTCACGTTTACGTTCTATTTTGAAAAAACCAGTAACGTTTGTGTGTCGTTCACAAAATATGAACGTAAACGGGTGAACAATTTTTTCGCAAACACTGATATTTATCATATAATACTGTTTCTTTTTCATGGTTTATTAACAACTAACAATTTTTTTTTGAAATTTTATTTATAAATGAATATGACTTCTTTGGACACAGTACAATTTGTTATTTTTACTTATATTCCTGCATCTATTGTAAGATTATAACTCACAATCAAACGTGGGGTTTGATAAACTTTCTTTGGATTCTATTTGTAACAATATAAATAATTATCATATAATTATATTTCTACTATTTGTATATAATATTGTGGTTATATGATCTGAAGATTATATATTACAGCTAAAAGATGCTGGTAATTTTAC